CTCACCTCCAGCCCTATCTTCGTCACCTTTTACTTGCTGGTAGGACATTAACTACAGATACACCAATATATACAGTATTCAAAGTAATAGTTTTGAAGCAGTCATCTTTAGGAATAAAAGCATTTCTACACATAATTTACAACGACTGCAGTGTTGATCTCCTTAAGTCTGTAGGGACACTGCTCCTGATAATAACTTTGACTTTAGTCTGTCAACAAGGGAAAACAACCTTGTCCAAAGACCTGCTGATGAGTTCATTTAGTTAATGCTTGCACTTTTTAATATGTTTCTCCTCTGTGGAAAGTTTTTACTCATGTATCCAAACTCTACTCCAAATGTTTATTGAAGTTAGCCTTCTTGTGAAATCACAACTGTTTGTTACTAGTGTTACCAGTGGATTGTTCATTTCAGATATACTTTCCCCAAATTTCTACTCAAGGATATGTTTTTATTTATTGTGATATACGAACTAACGTGTTTGTTTTTAACTGTAATCCTTAGGTGTTTGTTGTAGCAGCGGTTGGAATCACCCGTGCCGTAGTGTCCATGACTGTCAGCGCGTCCAGTGCTGCCACCATCATAGACAAAGTAAGGAGGCTGATGAAGCATAAATAATATTGTTGAAACCATGTGGGTGTTAGGTTGTAGATCCCCAAAATCAAAGGCTCAAATTCAAAGAACAAGATGTAATAGTATAAGCCAACATTATGATACATAACATTTTAGGGTTCAAAATGTGTTAAATGCCGACACTTGTCGTGATGCATAACCACAATGCTTGTTGTCTCCTCAGGTGCTGTGGGAAATCACACGTTTCTTCCTGCTGGCTATTGAGCTCAGTGTTGTCATCTTGGGACTTGCTTTCGGTTCGTTACTTGTTTCAGTTCTCATTGTGGTTTATGGCAACCTCTGTCCTTTCACATGACACACCTTTTTTTGTTTATTAAGTTGTAATGATCCCTTTCAGCCTTGAATCTAAGTTTTGAATGTAACTGAATGACTGTACAGTTTTTTTTCATTCTGTTAAGCCTTTCTCTATCCATTCATCAGGTCACCTGGAGAGCAAGTCTAGTATAAAGCGGGTGCTGGCGATAACTGCTGTGCTTGCTTTAGGCTACTCCATCACACAGGTATCTATCATTGTAAGAGGCAGCGGGAAATGTTTTTGGTAAGCTCTCGATGTGAATTCAATTAAATGAATGACATGTTTTTCCAGGGCACACTTGAGATCCTGTATCCAGACAGTCACCTCTCTGCTGAGGACTTCAACATCTACGGTCACGGAGGACGCCACTTCTGGTTGGTCAGCTCCTGCTTCTTCTTCCTGGTGAGTAACCTGTTACCATGCAGAAGAAGCAGCATGAAGAGTGAAATTAAAAGTCATAGCTGTTACCTGATAACTGATGTCTAATAATTCTCTCTTTTTTTATATAGGTGTACTCTTTGATTGTGATCTTGCCTAAAACTCCAGTGAGGGATAGGATATCTCTTCCATGTAAGTGAAAGATTTCATTGTCGAAAATAATAAAACGACATTGAAGAGGTTGAAAAATAAGCATTATATATAGAGATTTTTTTTTTGTCAATGTATTGAACATGTCAGAAACAAAACGTACAACAATAATAATAATTTAAAAAAAATCTTGTCCTAATAATTATAACAAAGAGAAAAAAATAAAATAAAACGTCTAGTTTCTGTCATGTTCAACAGGGGCAAGAAAAAGGTTTTTTTTAAAATACATTTTTCGTGAAAATAAAAGATTACAATTTCTCTTTTTTTACAAAACAATCAAAAAGAAATAACTTTTACGATTACAAGAAGTAACAAATATGAGTTTACAGGTCCTGCTCATAACCATTCATGATTTGGCTTCTAAATAATAGTTTTAGTTTAGGTAAACTTATAAAATATTTATTTTAGTTTAGGTAAACTTGTACAATATATATCATGTCATTCATATAAACCCACAAAGATGTGCTCCACTCTTAGTAATTGTTCTGTGTGATGCCATAATAAAAAAACATTTAAACCATTGTTGCCTAATAACATTTGTTTTGCTTCCTTTGTCCAGCTAAGAGAAGCTTCTATGTGTACGCTGCCATCCTGTCTCTACTGAACCTCGTCCAGGGCCTGGGCAGTGCTCTGCTTTGTGCTGGAATCATAGAGGGACTCTGGTCAGTGTCATCATTTTGAGTTTATACTGAATTAATTGACCTGTGGGAATGTTTAGGAAATAAAAATAAAAGGTTGAAGAGGTTCTGGCTCCAGAGTTGCTTTGGAGCTTTGTATTTATGTAACATGTCCTGGATCTAGTGCTGGGTGGCTGTTTTTGTTTGGCTGAGTTGCATACTAGATGGATGACTCACTATTTTTGGTGGGTCCAATGAGCATCAGTGGAGCTGGGGCGATTAAATGAGAACATAACAGATGTTTCTCTTTTGGATTGAAGAGTCCTTTTGGCAAAAAACCCATTGGTTGCGTTTTCTGTGTATGAAGCTTATAACAATGCTGCTACTTTCGATGTGATTCTTCGCAAAGTATCAAACTTATTTTGTTTTTGTTTTCTCAACCAGCTGTGTGGATGTCACCACCTTCCTGTACTTCTCCGCCTTTGCGCCGCTCATTTATGTCACATTCCTCAAAGGCTTCTTCGGGTTAGTACAAATAATCATACACAATACACAGAACACTTAAGCGTTGCATTCCTCACTTCGACCTGTTTTCTTTCTTTACTTGAACTACTTTCTTCCTTTTACATAGGTCAGAGCCAAAGATCCTGTTCTCCTACAAGTCACAGATGGATGAGCCAGATGAGAGTGACGTCCACCTTCCTCCCACCGTCGCTACCACTGGGCGAAAGGAGATGACTGACCAGGGCCTGTTCTACTCCTCCACCCAAATCGATGGCTCCGGTCCCGGCAGCTCTCGTATGGTTGGAGCGTACCTGGATGATGTCGCCTCCGGGCCTTATGGGTCCAGCAGCATTAACAGCATTGAAGCTGACCGCTGGAGACCTATCAACGTGTGAATGAACGAAGTGGAGTGTTGTGGTTTAAACAGCTGGACCTTAATATTGTGTATGTAGTGTGTAATGCAACATGGCCAAAAAAAAAGCTGAACAAAGAAGTTGGATCACAAGAACAAGTTATCTTGGTCTTGCTTTGACGCCAGCTAAATTAACAAGTGGACACTTAAGGAGAAACCTTTGCTAGCCAATTATCTGGAAGACTGTGAATTAAGCAACTGCTTTTGTAACACTGTTGCCAGAGTGCACTGCTGCTGTAGCTCCACACTAGGAGCACTTTCCCTGATTATGCCCTGGACAGACTCTGTTTTGATTCTGCTTGATGTGCTTTTAAATGTGGGAGCTTATTGACTCGAATCAGCGCATTTACTGTCATTCCTGCATCCTGCAACAACAGCTAAAGGCTTAATGATTAACTCATTGTAAATTCCTACTTAAAATCTAAGAGTATCTCTTCGTTATTGGCTGCCATGTATTAGATTTGTGACCCGATTTGGATAATGATGTTTTTACTGAATCACTCTGCCTCTCCACACAGGAAAAGGACTTGTGGTACTTCATTTAGTTAGGTGTACTTTGTCTTCTGAGATAGGCGCTGTCCCTTCTGTGAACAAGTGAAATGTGTTAATGGATGTGTGTCACTGCAATATGATAAGAAAACCAGTCGCTCCTAAATACAGGATATTCATTCACACTTAAGACCACAGATCACCTGTAACTCTGCCAGGATTGGCTCTGACACAAGAGCAAATTGTCTTAGATATAAACTCTCTAGCTGTCATTTCATTCCACTTTTATTTATGTTGGGTTTTAATTTCTTACAACACATTTTTCATTCCTGCTACTGGTACATGTTTGAGCATCATAGTCGTTAAGAGTGTGTTATTAGGTGTGTGATTCAAACAACAAATGTGCAGAAATCTTCTTTGAGTATTCCTAATTAGACATGCCCTCATTCCATATCAGCATGTCTATTTCCGCTCTGCTTGTTGCAAAGGGTCACTGTGTGCTATTGTTTATTTTTCTGCCAATATCTTTTTTTTCTGTTACCGGAATTCTCAAATGTTATAACAAATGTTCAAATTAGACCAAAAAATGATACGTGGTTGTCTATGCAGTGTATTTAAAAAATATATATTAACCCTTATGTCCCCCTGAACAAGAGAGACTCAGGCGATGGGTAAAATCACATTTCCTTATTCCTATCAAGGAAATATGATGTATGTGAGTTTCCCTCTGAAAATGCTATTTGTTTGGTATACATTGATTACTGTATTTAAGCTAGCAGTATTCATATAGTGGTTAAGTGTATGCAGAAAATATACATTTATTTTTTCAGCATTTTAAAGCAACAACACCGTAAATAAGTTGTTTATTTCAACAAATTAAAGTATATGCCTGACTCTGGAAATAGTGTATATTCAAATGTAGGGGCCGGTGAAACATTCTGTATAGCTTGGAGTTAGGAAATGGGAAATTAGATTTATTAATCATGACATGAGTTCACAAGGTGCATTCTTAAGAAAGTCCTCTCTCCTGATAGAAAATGTTTTGGAATATGAAATAATTTTGCAAATGATCTGTAAATTGCCTTTTTATTTAAGGGCATTGATTGTATGATATTTAGCCCATATTATTGCAATGTATTGAGCATTCCGTGACCAACAAAATAAACCATGGACTCTTTCATTTCTTTGTTTTTGGGGATGGGGCAATACACCACTGGCTGCTTGAGGTAATTCAGTCTCCACTCTGTGGTTTCTTGTGGTAACTACACTGGAACATATGTTTATCCTTTTTCTTCATATTACTTCCTGTGATGATTTCCCCACATGATTGCATTATTCGGTGTTTCTATTATCTTGTGTTTGTCTATAAATCGTCACATTATTCCGACTACAATTAAACTACATTTCCCATCTATCCTTTACTCCAGATACGCAACCACAAGGAGTCTGAATTATTTTATCCAACCAATGAGCTGAGAGGATACTGTAGTGCCAGTTTGACCTTTATTGGAGTTTTTAAACCACTGCTCGCTGTGGTGGCGATTCCTCTCCTTTATGTCTATCTGTCCTAACTACAGTTAAGGTTTTTATTTATTTTGTATATTCAAGTGGGAACAAACAGCTGGTGGAAATGGGAGGTAGCACGTCAAAGAAAGTGTCATTCGGGCTGGACGAAAACGAGAAGGTCACAGTTATTGAAGGAGTGAAGGTAGATATAACTTCACGTTTCATCTAATTTGTTTGCAATTCAGAGACAAAGTCTAAATTATGCTATGAGGCATGACGACTGAAGCTAATACGGTTAGCTAGTGGCAGTGTTCGTCCAAGATGCACTGAAAGGCTGACAGCTCCCATGTCCTTAAATGACCTGGGTCATTCTACGTTATGTCCAGTAGCTGTTCCTCGCTGTCTAAAAGTTATTACGCTTAATATTACCCTTGCAACAGTTTGAGGAATTACGACGTATATCCTATAATACCATTGAAGCAGACGCAAGGAACGCAGTGCAATTTTACCATTCTGGCTAAATGTCCAAAACGCAACACTATCTTAATTTGTGCTAAACTTGCTATCTTTGCTATGTACCACTCAGCTAAGTAAGCTAAGGGCACCAACTGAAGTACCTCTACTACGTTACTGTAACGACATCAGCAGTAACCTTTAGTAAACGTTTCAAAACATGGACAGTTTCAGTTTCATAAAGACATAATCTGCAACTGAGCTCCACATGTGAACTGTTAAATGATTCAGAAAGAGAATACATTACTATTGTCTGGATCCATGTAGGCAGATAGCTTCTCATTCTCTTACTATTCAGGAGGGACATCATAGGAAGTACCCAAATATTTTACTTAGTAAAAAGTAGCAATACTACATTGTAAACACATACTCTATTACAAGTAAAACTCCTGCATTCAAAGTTGTCCTCAAGTAAAAGTACAATAGCATTGGCATCAAAATATACTTTAAGTACAAATGTTATAGTGTGGCTCATATCTGATTTAAGAATATACTTTTTTTTGTATTATAGTCAAATCTGACTTGACGCATGGAATAAAACATGGGCGTAGGAAGCATCCTCAATGTGGGTGAGACAATTTAACAGGGGGTGTGGACAGGTGGTGGACCTCACCTCCTCTAGGGGGGTCCGGGGGCATGCTCCCCCGGGAAGATTTTTTTTTTTAATGTTGAAGTTAAAAGCATCAATCTGGTGCACTTTGAGAGCAAAATTAGGGACTAAATCTATGGATACATCTCTCAACACCCATATGAAACAGAACTGTAAACAGATTTACTTTTTCTTTCAACATTTATTTGAACAGCAAGTGGAGGCAAAAGTGACTGCACCCAACACAATAAACCTTCTAGCTAACTAGCCTAAACTCAGTAACAGAATGTGGGCAACACGTTCTTCTCCACAGCCGCGTGACCTCTGAGTCAGACGTCAATTCCCCCTTTTCTATCCTACGGGTACAGCCACTCCCCCTGAACCCCGTTTCCATGCCAACCCCCCCCCCCCCCCCCTCTCCCCTATGCAAGCCCCTCCCTCTGAACCCAGGGCTCGATACAATACAGTATACAATACTGTATACTGTATACACAAGCTATACAAAAACGCCTTTACGCTTTGGAGCTTGTTTATCCATCTGTAAGCAACTGCCAGCTAGGTCTCTCAGTCACTGACTCCTGATCGTTCACTGTGCAGTGACAGCTGCTATGGGCCTGATGTGTGAAAGTGAAACTATCTGATAGAACATAGGTAGCCTATCAAAACGGCCCAGCCCAGCCCAGCCCAGCCCAGCCCAGCCCAGCCCAGTGGGGCTTACAAATGTGGGCCGGTAGGATTTAGGTAAGCAAAAAAAAAAAGAAAAGGGAGTGGCCGGAACACTTACAAATGTGGGCCGGTAGGATTTTGGCAAACAATTTTTTTAATTTTATTTACATTTAAAAAAAAAAAAGGTTTTGGCCCTCCGGCCCACGCTCAGCACCGGCCCACCGGGAAAACTCCCGGTATTCCCAATGGCCAGTCCGCCCCTGGCAGTATTCATATGGTGGTTAACTGTATGCAGAACATATGAATAGATTTTTGTCATCATTTTAATGCAACAACACAGTAAATCATTTGTTTATTTCATTTGCCTTGAGTGCCGGTGATAACTGCTGTATAAATGCAGTAAGAATTGTGTTTGGGAAATTATGAAGTAAAGTAAAAGTAGGATAATGAGGAAATATTTAAGTCCAGTACAAGTAGGCCTACCTACATTTTTTAAAGTTAATGATGGACTTTTTAACCTTCGAGACTTTAATATGCTGCTTTCAAGATAAACAACTGTCCTGTATGAACACCAAGGGGCTGGTTAATGTTTTTTTATGTTCAGATTTCCTAATTCTTACATTCCTATCCAGCTTTCAGACGATGTGCTCCAGCGGATGAGGGATGCTGAGGGGTCTGAAAGCACCAAGCCACCCCCCTCTCCACCAGAACCCGGTCAGAAACAACCACCAAGTGAGTCCGGGTCAAAGACCTTGGCTTTCATTCACAGAGCTCCCATAGGGAGGCCCACTGTGTCGACATGTTCTCATGCAGTGCATGGTGAGAAAAGCATTAGACCTTAACCCTTTGTATTGATATTCATCCCATTTGATTTTCAGGTCCAAAACCAACAGGACCCTCCCATACCGAAATACATGAAGAAATACGCAAAAAGTAGGTGCTCATAATGTCAAGATCACTGTTTGTTTTTGATTTTATCCAGCCATATTTGTTGAACGACCTCCTCTAACTCTGAATGTCACTTATTATGGTAGTGCATTAGTTTTGTCTTACTAGGAATTTGACGCCTCCTGAAGTATTGAAACCTGTGCAGCATATCAGATCCTATCATTTATTGATGTCAGGCCCTCTGTGTTGGCACATGCTACACATAGCCAGTGGAGGTGACAGATTTATAAAATAACAGACACTTGATGCTAATGGGCGATGCTTATGGAAAACATACACACCACGAGTGACCTGTCAACACTGCTCGTGCTGACTTACTGTGTGTGTGTGTAGCATGCGTGGTGCTATGGTGCTGAAATGCTTGTACACTATCTTGAGTCTCTATAGATTTACATGTTATCAAGCCCAACAATTCTCACCCACTCACTGTAAAAATTGTTGGACGTATATTAATATACATTATATTATTAAACCTTTTTCCATATTTGTGTGCTAAGCCTCTGTAATGTAATCATCCTATTGATGTAGGTTCATGTAGTCAACAGAACATTAGAAAGTTACAGAAATCGGCTTTTGAACAAAATACCACAGTAAACTTTGGTTATGTCATGATGTTACTGGATTGGATTGCAATATATGGAAGTTTGGAATTAAATCTAAAGCTTGTTCTCCTCATGAATTTGTATTTTCTTTTCACGATTACCTAAATGATATGTATATAAACTCACAGAACAACTGCTTTTTACTATGCATAGTCAGTCAAGAGGTTTTTGTTTCTCAGTCTTAGTATTGTTTTATAAACAAACAAAACCAATATCTGACCTTGCTGGGTAGCTGGTGCGTGAACAATAACTTAAATGTTTAGCAGACTTAGTGGATAGATAAAGGTTAAGGCTTAAAACAGCTCTTATCTTCCCCTACTTCAGCTTTGAGCGGCAGCAGGCCCAGGTGCAGGAGCAGCTGGCCTCCCTCGCCCAGAGGGAGAGAGAGAGAGAAGCAGCAGCCCCCACAGAGCTGGACCACCTGACCCCCGCCCTCCTCATCGAGAAAGGAAAGACCCATGAAGAGCAAGGAAAGGCCAAGACACTGGTGAGTGAGGCTTTCTGGGTCTATGGTTTCTTAGTTGTGCTTTAATTTAGTGGACCTGACATGTTTACTCTGATCAATAACTAATAATTAGTTTACACTTCACCAAACATCAGATCATCTTCGATACAGTACCTGTGACCGTGTAACTATGTACTTCAAACAAACGTTCCTTACACATTTATTCAATCAAATGAATCGAGACAACTATTTCATTTACTTTCATAATCTTTGTCATTGTATAAGTGTCTGATCTTAAGCTGAAGAAGACAAAGGCAACCGCAAACTGCATATTTGACTATTTTTAACAAAGAATTGCACACATAGCCAATACACTTTTAGCCTAAAAACTGCCAGCAATACATATTTAAAAAACCTTTCCGGTTGGGAAACCCTGGTGCATTTGTTTGGACATTAAACGTTTCACCTGAAAAGAGAAAACATTTGCGTTATAATGCGCAATTTAGAAACTAACATGTTACTACTTACATTTTAAAATAACTGATTTACAATGTATTTCTTATAGGTCAGCAGCACCCTCTACTGTTCAGTCTTTGAATAGCACCTTTTGACTGAGGCACTAGTGACTCGTTGAATTATTAGATTGCACATGTCGATAGTTCCTCGCCGGTTAGACTTTTCACACGGTATATTAATCCGTTCCAGGTTTTGTCAAATATCCAAACATTCATTTACGGTGCATCACATTTTTTCAACTTTATATTCTGCATCACATTTTAATCCATTGATTGTGAGATGGAGTTGTTGCGTCTTTTCATATAATTGTGCATCTAGCTGATGAAAACATAATGACATACTGTAAATGTGCAGGGAGATGGAGTTATCCTGAAATTACGTTATACCAGAAAATGATTTAAAGAAGAGACCTTGATATTATTAGTCATAAGTGTTGACCAGAAAAGGGGATCTTTGCACCTGACACGCTCATGTTTGGAAATATTCTACGTTTTGTTTTAGAGGAAGTTAGCTGATTCGGGTTCTCTAAATAGGATTCTCTTCTCGCTGTTCTACTGTTAGTAACACTGTTGAGATGTTCGGTGTAACATTGTTGCACATTTCCATATTTTCCATCACCTCCGTAGCATAGTGTTTCCTCAGTCGGTTTTCACTTCCCCCGTGACATCATGTATTTATTTGAAATTGTCCAAGCGAAATAGGAAGAATGACGCCACTCATATTCACTTTATTAAGATCACAGCTGTTGCAGGACCTTTATTTACCGCAACCTTTGATGAAAGAAGCAACAGAACTGTGATGACATCAATGCACAATAGGGCTGAACGATATACCGTGTCATGGCGAGAACCGCGGTATGCGCATGCGCGGTATTCACACCGCAGGGACGTGCGGTTTTATTCATTTTTTTTAAAATGCTAACGCACTTTAGCACAGAATTCAAAATAAAGATACCCTTATTACTTATCGAAACTGCACATACAATATATCCGATTAAAGCTGAGACTCCACAGATTATTTAAGTATAGTATCTAAGCGATCCGATCTCGCAACAGGGGAAGCAAACACAGACATCACAACACGTACCTTTTACGGAGCTTTTACGGGAGATCGTCTCACCGTAGCTGTCAATCTGATCAAAAGACGTGTTCAATGGCATTAAAACGAGAAAGAAAAAACGCGGCTGAATCGGTTGATCCATAGGTTGATAATGTATATGTGGCTTTGAAGCAATTGTTTATAATCCATAATTCCATTTGTATGTAAAAATCGGAGCACAAAAGTTAGCTGCTAATGGTAGCTACCAGAGTGTATGCAGTTTTCGGTTTTGGCTACACGTCACTCTCACTCCTTATTTGTTCACGTGTTGGTGTGTGTAGAACTTCCCCTGCATGCACAGCAAACCACCAATCACAATCATTCTTGATCAGATCACAGCAGGCCCCACCCCGCTAGTTTGCAGACCATCAAAACACTGGTCAAAAATGAGCGAGGCACAGGAGGACAATACCGGAGAAAATGGAATTATGGATTATAAATTAAATCATTTTTTTATACAGACACTTTAAAAACCTATGGATTAACCGATTCAGCCGCGTTTTTTCTTTCTCGTTTTAATGCCATTGAACACGTCTTTTGATCAGATTGACAGCTACGGTGAGACATCTCCCCTAGAAGCTACGTAAAGGTACGTGTTGTGATGTCTGTGTTTGCTTCCCCTGTCCGAGTTCAGATCACTCAGTGATGATACTATATACCTAAATAATCTGTGGAACCTCAGCTTTAATCGGATATCTTGTAAATGCAGCTACGATAAGTAATAATAAGGGTACTTTTATCTTGAGTTCTGTGCCAAAGTGCGTTAGCATTTTTCGCTCAGGGGTCATTTAGATGCTTCTTATGAGACTTGTGTTTTGTTTTGGTAACAATGGTTTGTATCGTCAATTAGCTGAGATTATTTCCGTTAATCTGGTATAACACATTAATAGGTTCTTAAATATTACGATCCCCTGAGACACTCGTGAAAAAAAAAGTAAAGTACCCGCCGGGACTTTGCGGTTTAACAGGTTAAAAAAAACGCAATATATACCGCAGGGGGGGGGGGGGGGGAATCGCGATGTCAGTTTTTTTCACTACCGTGCAGCCCTAATGCACAACATCCTTTCTTTATCACAGCAGAACAAATCCCTGATGGTCCTGTTAGGTACAAGTATAATCCTCTATGTAAACAGGCTATATTAATAATAACAATATCCAAAGAAGGAGATAACCAAACATATACAACCACTGCTTTCTTCCTCTGTAGATGAATAAACACCCATCACAATCACAGAGTTGACATGCATTTATGAAATCTGGTTAACTCCATAAGTAGCCTGCTTCCTAAAACGCTATGTAAACCTGAAGCTATAAGAGCGTTTGTGGTGTATTCATTTAGATAAAGTATGTGTATTGATTGTTGTGTGCACAATTGTTGACACATAATCTTGTCAAATTCAAATTGATAACAAGTCAACCAATAGTGCTGTGTGTGTGACAGGTGATTGAGTGTGAGTGTTTGTCAGAATCTGGTTTTAGATGTATATCGATGAGCAGTGATGTATTGGCGATCTGTGATTCCCTCCCTGGTGTTTTTCCACCTGCTTTGCTCTGATATTATTAAACATGGTGGATTCTCTCTCTCTATATATCTTCCTATCTCGCTCTCTATAGATCTATCTCTCTCTCTCTATCTCTCTCTCTCGTCTCTATGCTATCTCATCATCTCTCTCTCTCTCTCTCTCTCATCTATCTCTCTCTCTCTCTCTCTCTCTCTCTCTCTCTCTCTCTCTCTCTCTCTCTCTCTCTCTCTCTCTCACATTGATTTGCCCTGCCTGTGTGTTCTTGGCGAGCCAGCCAGCTGTAATGAATAGTGAATGAAGCCTCTGGCTGAGCTTACACTGATATGGGCTCCAAACATTTAATGATGTTACATCGCAATGTGAAACTCAACACTCGTAACACAAAGACCTGTTTTCTAGTTTTTTCCTGACAAGTCAATACAGCCTGTCAGTGTGTGTGTGAGAAAGTGGTTTAACACCTCAAAGGCTTTTTTTTTTTTTTAAAGACAGCTTGGAGTTTCGCTATGAACAGGTGTAAAGCATAAGATGTTGAAAGAGTTGCACAGTATGTGAAAAACCTAGAGAGTAAAAACTGAGTGTTATCCTCCCCCTTCGGCAAATGCCTCTCCTTTCCCACCTTTTCCTCATTCTCACCTCTGACACTCACCTTTTCTGCTCAACTGTCTAATTCATTCATTGTTCCCAACTCCATTTCTCCCATGTCTGCAAAGGGAAAATACCACGGGACAAAGGAGACCCGAAACCGCATAATTCAGTTCCAAAAAGTGACTGTATATTTGTTGCATTTCTTTTGAGTAGATGTAAAGTACCTGTGAATCTGATTGAGATCAGCCACCATCAAACTCTCTGGGCTCAGCAGGTGGGCTTCCCTCCCTTCTTTGCATTTCCCATCGAACTTGCATCCACTGGCAACAACACAGCTGGATACCTTTAAGAAAAAGTCTCTCCGACCCCCCTCCCTTTCCCCATTCCACTTGAAAACACTCCCTTTTGAGTAGTTTGGGGTCTTGCTTCCCAGAGAAGACACACACACATATTCCCAGAGACATGCCTTCTCACACACACTCTGCTGTGACGCTATCACAACGCAAAATCACATGTACAGCGAGCACCCCCCGAGTCTATTTCCCCTCGTGCACTCCTTGCCCCCCAGCAGGCAGGCTGTGTGTTACTGCTGGCGGGTTGAAGAGGGGGGGTGGGGGAGAGGAAGGTGTGAAAGCAACACCTGTCAGAGCGCTGCGCGCCCCCCCCCCACACACTGCCTCAGGCTGACTGTCACAAACACTCACATTAGCCATTTACTCCTGTCTCAGCACCCTGCGCCACCACTGGGGATATTGTGTGTGTGTGTGTGTGTGTGTGTGTGTGTGTGTGTGTGTGTGGTGTGTGTGTGTGTGTGTGTGTGTGTGTGTGGTGTGTGTGTGTTGTGTGTGTGTGTGTGTGTGTGTGTGTGTGTGTGTGTGTGTGTGTGTGTGTGTGTGTGTGTGTGTGTGTGTGTGTGTGTGTGTGTGTGTGTGTGTGTGTTGTGTGTATGTGTGTGTGTGTGTGTGTGTGTGTGTGTGTGTGTGTGTGTGTGTGTGTGTGTGCATACCTGTGCATTAAACAGACTCATCAGAGGAATGTGTGTTGTATTCGCCTGCAAGGTTCACCTTCAGTTCACTCTATACTCTGTGAGCCTCCAGCATATTGTATTTTTAATCTTCTTTTGTACTGTGGTGTTTACGATATTGTTGGGGACTAAATTAAGTTTCCTTGTGTAGCATCTGATAATGATAATAATTCCTTCCATGGCATTACATGGCAGTTTTTCCTGTGCAGTATGAAAACAGACCTGTAGCTAGTTAAGCGCTTTGAGCACCAGGAAAAACGCTATATAAATAACATGTATTATTATTATTATAAGTT